TACCCTAAATTTCTTAATTAAAGATGTTTTGGTGACGGTCACTTTAATAAATTTGTTAATTACATGATAAATATAACTGATAACTAAAATTTACTTGTATGTATTTTTATCTCTAATGATATCTGACGTTAAGATGTAATGAGACATTGTTTAATGATTGGAAATGCATATTTGTTTGATGAATTACAACAATTGTGAAATAAAGTTCTGTTCTTTTAAAATTTTTCTATAATAATATTCATTTTTGTTTCATAAAATCTTTTTATTTATTTATTATTCTTATTTTCATGTTATATATACACTCATAGCGATAAGAAATTTTGCGTTGGCATTCATTTCCGACAGCCCAATTTACAGTAGATTAATGATCGGTTTGATTTATAAATTCGAAATATTGACTTTAAAGACTAGATGGAGATGCAGACTCAAACTTAGTTATAGCTATTTATAATTTTCCATTTTAAAATAAGTCAAGTCATATTTTGTTCATTATCTCTAATAATTTGCAGAATATCATATTAGACAACTATTTCAAAGCAGTGATTCCTTATTGAAAATTATTAGCAATATCCAAAAATTCTTTTGTAATTAAAATTAGTTTAGTTTACGTAATTGTAAATTGAAACTGACAACAAAATAAGTGGTCTGTTTTTATTAATATTATTGTGAAATGAAATTATGTTACAGTATCTTGAATTATAACATTATTACAAAATTTTCGACATCGCATATCTAATTTTCGAAATTTGAAATCAAGACGCGGCTTTGTGACCAGGACGTAATGAAATTGTTCTCCAATTAACAACATGGTTGAGCTTATGTGGCTAAATATAAAAAATGATTACCTCGTGATTTTTATAGACTGCCATTTGTAAAATATGGCGGTTTCATAAATGTAACTGATGAGAATTGCGCATCTTGCAAGAGCCAAGAGAATAGCTTTAAACAATGAACTTTCATTTCATTAATTATTTTAATTCAGTCTTACTTTCTCATCCTTGTCTTGTAAGAAATTGACTAACATTGGAATATTTGCTTAAAATGCACTTAGCGTTATGAAATCTAGATGACACAACAATTAATAATCGTTTATAAATATGTAAATTTGGGACGTCGGGTGTTTATCTAGATAGTATTGTTTTACAAATATTTAATGCCTGAATTTGGATTTCACTCAAACATCTGCAAATATTTTGGCTGGTAAGAAGACATCAAACGTTTAAATAACTTATGTAAAATTTTATAGCATAAATTTTTTAAAATTTTAAATATTTACGGCATTCCTTCACTTCAACCAGTTTGCCTTAATGGAATTACTAAAGAAGTTTTGTGAGGATGAATATTATGATTTAAAAAGTCTTTTATTTGACATGGTGAAATTCTTAGGTCATATGTTATTTAACAAAGTTCGGAAATTAAAATCGCTTTTTGTGGTGATTCTCTGTGAATAAGTTTATTTTATCTTTTGGTATAATTTTTTTTTTTTTTTCGTTATTAAGCAATACTAGCCAATCAAGTTTATGACAAAATTATCAGCTGGACTGGACATTTTTAATGAATAGACTACACTTCATTGGTGGGTTTGTTACACTAAAATACAAATATGCGTGCAGACTGGCGTAAAAATTTTTCAAAATTACGTTTTTGATAGCCAATTCGTATAAGTCAATTAATTAGCTAATCAAAAACGTAACAAATGATATAACTTTTGTATCACGTTGACCATAAATTTAGTACGTACGTTCCGGACAATTACTGTAATGTATTTATTTAGTATTAAGATCTTTCTTTTAAAAAAAATGGACTCCGAACAACTTCGTGATCTTGGTTACAATTATCATCATGGTATTGGTGTTGAGAAAGACGAAAAGAAGGCTTTTGAATACTATATGAAAGCAACTGAGTTAGGAAATTCGGATGCGATGAATGATGTTAGTCATTGTTATTATTATGGAATTGGGGTGGAAATAAATTACCAGAAATCATTTGAATATTGTAAGAGATCGGCTGATTTGGATAATGCTTTTGGAATAAATACGGTTGGTAGACGTTATGCAAGTGGAAGGGGGGTTGGTCAAGATTATAATAAATCATTTGAATGTTATAAAAAATCTTCTAATATGGGCGTTAAATCAGCAATGCTTAATATTGCTCTATATTATCGTAACGGCATTGGTACAAAGAGAGATATTCAGAGTGCAAATTATTGGTACAGAAAATATAGAAGTATTTTGAAAACTAATAAATCACCAGATTATATCAATCCTGAACTTAAGAGAATATTAGACGATGATAGATTTAAATTATCTTGGATTGATTATAATGAGTTCAAAATTATTAGGGAAGAGGGAAAAGGAGGATTTGCAACTGTATATAGTGCAACTTGGTTCAACAGAATTAATAACATGACGAGAAATATTGCACTTAAAGTGATTCGTGATTCAAACAAAAATGAGCAAGAATTCATTCAAGAATTGAAGAATTACTGTGAAATTGGGTACAAAAATCCTTCGTTCTTGGAATGTATGGGAGTATCAAGAAATAATTACGGTGATTATATTATTGTTATGGAGATTGCATCAAGAGGTTCGTTACGACAAAATCTTGTACAAGTATCACAATTAGAATGGAAAGATAAATTGAATATTTTATACAGTATAGCTATGGATCTCGAGTCGATTCATTCGCAGGAACTCGTCCACAGAGATTTACATAGCGGAAACATTTTGCAACTTTTTGGTTTGCGTGATGCATATATTACTGATCTTGGACTTTCCAGAAAAGTAGAAGAAGGAAAATTTTGTGGGATTTTGCCGTACATTGCACCAGAGATTTTGGAGGGCCAAATGTATACTAAAGCATCAGATATTTACAGTCTTGGAGTTATTGCGACAGAGATTTCGATTGGACAAAGAGCATTTGATGGAATTCCGTTTAATGGAGACCTTGTATCAAAAATTATTGGTGGATTAAGACCTAAATGTTTAGGACCAGATTGTTATATTAAATTAGCTATGAAATGTATAGATAAAGAAATTGAAGAACGACCTACAGCAACAGAAATTATTGAAATAATCACACATTGGTTAGATGAAATGATTAAGGATGAAGATAACGAAATTAAAAAACAAATTTTGGAAGCTAATAAAATCAAACCAGAATCGAATAAACAAATACATCCACAAGAAATATATACTAGCAAATTATATAATACGAATAATTTTTCCGAATATATTAGTAAACCTCTTAGTACTGTAGAAATTGTGAGCAGATTCTCCAATTTAGATTTAAATTAATTTATATAAAGTAAGTGTTTATGTAACATGCACTTAGGAAGGTGCAGCTATATTAATTTCTCTTTGCAAAATTTTTATACGATATCTAATCTTCATTATTTTATCATTATTATGTTAACATCATTATATTACCAGTATAACTATTTTATCAATTTGTAAATTTTAAGTTTTATTCTTATCATTTGTGTTTTATTTATTTGTTTTTGGGAGTAAGAAATCTTTAAGTCAATTTTATTTTATTTTTTGAATCACCGTCTCAAACTTCCTTTGAAAATTTATATTTACATTAACTTTTATAAAAAATGTAAATTTGTTTTAAAAATGATGAGAAATACCCAATATTATAATCAAGGTAACAATGCAAATTTTAATAAGAACGTTGTTTTAAAATTAAATATGTATTAGAAAGTTATGATATCTACGTATTTAATTATATACCAAAAGTATGTTAAATGACATTCAAATGTACCCTTAACAGTTCCCAATCCTAAAACGTCGTTGCATTTTAAGAACAGTACTTTTTCCTATAGTTATTAGTGGTTTTGCGTTGGCGAAAGAGAAGTCGAAACTAGTGATGCCTGACGAAACCATGTGATGCTAATTGTCACATGGTACAGTATTTATAATATATTGGTCATGCGATGATTAATATCATGAAATTTGTTCCGGCAGAACAAATTTTATGATATTTAACATCGCATGATCCAATATCGATGTTATCGTGCAATTATGATCATGATTACAAGTCATTATTGGCTAACGCTAACTTCGAGATTGTTGTGCTTATGTAATAACGTACAAAAAATAACAAGAAGAAAAAAAATCTATGATCATAAGAGTTTGCACGATAACAAAATATATTTACACGACCTTTACTTGATATCGGTTTAGATAATTGTTTAAATTTTTAATAATACGTTTCCGTGTTATTAATAAAATTAAAAAAAGGTAAAGAGTTACTATATATTCTATACGTATTAAATCTTGTTTAGATATCTTAAATATATCAGAATTCGCCAAAGTAAAAACAGAAGAGTATTTTGATTCATAATATAAGACTTGTCACAATTGGTATTCTTCTTTGCCTGAGTTATTTTTTTAATCAACAATATAGATGCCCATACTTCTTAAATTATTATCAATTTTATTGAGATGTTGACAAAAGAAATGAAGTTATTTAGCGTTAGTTCTATTTTACAATAGCTTCGACTTTACGTGATTTAACAATAATGATAGTTTATTTTAGCTACAGTATAAAATACATCCCACTTCTAATTACGATATATGTTAAAATCAATTTTATCACGTTATAAAACCCAAACATATAACGCTCAGTCACCTTTGTCTTTGATAGATCTAATATTTTTAGATTTACAAGTCTAAAATTTTGTGTAAATACATTAAAGGCAATACATATATTGAAAAATGAATTAATGCCATCTTTTAAAGACGACCTCGAATCCGTCATGATACAGCAACTCTATTTCTTTATCTTAAAAACAGCCGAACCCATTACCAGCTCACAATTTCGTAGGCTTAATTAATTACTGAAAACTTTGGTATTCCAAGGAATCATTTGAACTATTAACGTGACCAGTACTACTTTCTTACGTAATTGTACAATTATAAAAAAATTGGTCAACTTATTTAAAAAAGAACATATATAACTACACATGTGGGTGTTGAGATATTATCGATCAAAGATTAAAAAAAAAATCTAAGTGGATGTGGAACACCAGTTCCCTATTTTTTTGGTCATCATTATTCGAAATATAACTATCAAATCCTAATCCTAAAAAAAATTAATTTTGTACTTCATCGATAAACAATTACAAGTAAAAATAACTCAATTTGTTAATATGATTCCTTTAACTATTTATTTAGGAATACTTCTCGATTTTCAGGTGTGAGTTTTTTGAACAACTACAGTATATTCAACGAGCACTTTCTAATGAATAATATTCATTATGACAAATTGAACATATTAAAAAAATATATAATTACAGACACTTGCAGGGTAATGTTTGATATCTAATGCTTTCAATGTTCTCAATACATTTAAAAAAAGAAATTGAGAACACAGCATTTGAAAAATATATTCTCTAATTAAGAACATAAAATTTATAATTTATATTCTTATAAAATATATATGAAATATTATAGTTAATAAAAAAAATTTGAGAATATAAAATTATTTAATCTATATTCTCAAGAGCAAAAGAATTTTCAGAAATCAAACAGTGGTGCAGGCTACAAGACTTTTATTAACTTGGATTCTTATTTATGCAAAGTTTTATTTGTTGGTACATTACTCTAATGCAGCCAGCTAACCAACATATTTCTTATATAAAACAGATTCAATTTAATTGAAAAAAGATAGAATAGAAAAGATAGTAATACAATATTAGTAGTAATATGATAATAATAAAATATGACAATAAAGCAAATAATAATAAAAAGAATTAACTATAATACACTAATACACCAATGTATACTTCTATTAAACATGAATAAATTAAGGCCTTGATAATATTAAATGATATACTTTATATATCCGTATCCAATTTTATAATACAGAATAAATTTACTTTGTCAATTTGAAATCTGCATTTTTCTTCATATGTTATTGGGGTGTCCAATATCATAATTAATCAAAACTATGTTAACAAATTTGTATGCAGATTTTTTGATGTTATACAAACATCATCAATTCATACTAATCTACAAATTCGGCAATTCAATTGGTCTAAGATCATATGATAGCTATAATACAAATTTGAAGTATTCGTAAAGTGAGGCTTTATTATAAAATTAGATGTTTAGACTCACTGGCTCGATAGTTTTCGCTCAAATTTTTTATTTATAATAATTGTAGCAATATTAACAAAATTACAGAAAAAAATTTTTACATTAATATGCAAGAAAAAATTATTAAATCATTTTACGAAAATTTTTTTAATTTATACATAAATTTGTTCTTTGATCCTCCGACTGATCTACAACTTTTAGAAAATTTATTATTATATATTTATCGATTGACCTTACATAGTTTTGATTACTTTACTGAAATTTGAAAAATTAAGTAGTAGGCATATAGTAAATATAGTAATAATAAAATAATTATATAGTAACTTTAAACCTAAAAAAATTAATAGTAGTAGGCGTATTGCTAACATATAGTTAATACAAAGAAAGTTGCTACTACCAAGCAACTATATAGTTAGCTTACAGTTAATTGCAAATTGCTATTTTGCAAGTTTCAGTAAAGTAATTATAATGTTGGACACCCCAATATGTTATGACGTTCAGTTAACTACAATCAAAATCTCGCTAAGTTATATCTCAACTTAAGTTATATCCACAAAATAAATATCTTATATTTGTTAAAATTTACCTTAGTTATATCTCTACCGAAGCTATATATCCAAAATCATTTTGGGAAAAAGGGGTGATATAACTGAAGTTTGGCTGTAATTCTAATATTGTTTTGGGTCTCGAACAAATCTTAGCAACATCATTTATTTCCATTTTCTTAGAGCCATTACTTTTTTGTGGTCCTAAAACACGACTAAATATATCCTGCAATGACTTATTATCAAAGAAAATCTTATCAGGGTCATACTTTTCACGCACTTTCTCAAATTGTTTAATTTGATTTGATAAAATATCAGAAAGATAATGGTTCACATTTAGATGAAGTTCCCAATTTTTTGCCCAATGAGGTCTATAGTAAAGAAGTTTGTATAATTAGAATTAATTTAATTCATTGCAAAGAAACAAAAATTTAATAATTTCTTAATAATTTCTTACTTTGCTCTGTACTTCTCGAAAAGTCTCTGCCCAATTAATTGCACCCATTCTTTCAAACCAGGAGTACCATGAACTGTCCCAACATCCATATGACAATACAACGCTTCTGGATCATGGTCAAAATTATTAGATAATAGCGCTTCACTAGATTTTATGATTCTAAACTCTGCAAGATAATTTACTGGAAATTTTTCTTGTGCTGCAAATTCATACAACTATAAAAATAATAAAGTTACTCTAAAAATGAACTAACAGAATATCAGATACAGTAATAAACTCACTGATTGAATTATGTAAGAAAATTCGGTAGCAACGTTGGAAAAATCCGGATCAATTTTAAATCCATATTCTACCAAATCAAGCTTGAGACTTTCTTCGCTAGCTGCGAAATGGAGAGCATCAGGAACCTGATATACAAAACTAGTATTACCACCACTAATTAAAGCATTCCATGTCATAGCGATGGCATTCGGGGTTTCTTTAGGAGTTTGTAAAATACTACTTATGAACTGAAACTGTTGAATAAGACCTTGTGCTTGAAGTTCATGTGTTTTTTGAATCTGCTGTTGTGTGAAACTCACAGGTTCATCAGTTCGTACCCAATTCTTAACCCAAACTAGATCTCTATTAGGGTCAAGAGGTTTCGGATCACTTTGATTGAATCCATTGAATGGAAAATAAAGTATTTCAATACCATCAGATGATTCTACAAGATTTTTAATAATATGTGGTTTAAGCCATTCGTTCACTGGAATATAAAGGTCGTTCATACGAAGATTGTACATAGGTTTTACACGGAAAGTCACAGAATATATTATACCAAGTAAACCTAAACAATAACAGATTATAAAGGTTAGATAATAAAGAAAAAGTAATTAAAAAATGAAAGCTTAGTAGTTACCTAAGTTGACTTTCGCTGCATTAAATTCTGACTTGTTTATGTCTTCACTAAATTCACATACTTCACCAGATCCAGTGACGATTTTCATCGAGCAAATTTGATCAGACATAATACCAGAACTGGTCTTTGCACCATGTGATCCCGTTGCTATAACACCAGATACTCGAAATGTGTTAAAGACAACAGCTGATTCAAGGGCTAATGGTGGATTATGCTTTCGTAATGCTTCATCAAGATCCGCTAACGATATGCCTATTTTCAATTAAATGATAATTAATTTTATATTTATCACAAATATATATATATATATATATATGTATAAAATTTACCAGCTTCAGCAGTAACAGTCCAGCCATATTTTGGATGTTCTTTCATTGTGACTTGAGTTAAATTTGTAACTACTACCAGATAGTGCTCTGTGACAGACAAAGAACTTATAGTATGCCCTTGGGCAGCACATCGAATAGTTTTATTATTTTCCTTTGCTAGTTTTACAATATCAATAAGTTCTTCAAGTGTAGACGGTTCAAAAATGGCATCTGGTGAAATATTAATTGCACCATTCCAATTTTCCCATGTTTTATTGTTAATCGGTGTCGCGGAGTGGACCACGAAATCTTGATATGCTATCGCCGAGATAGACTTATAAACCGTCAAAATTATTAGGAACAGTAAGAAATTTAAAATATGTTTCACGATCATTATAATTACTCGAATAGGAGAGATCAAAAGTATATTTTCTTGATGTTGAAAGGGTCTTATTTATTGCAAATTTCATCGAGTACAAGAATTATAGATTTATTTTTATTACTTGACTTTTACAGTTATTTATTTCGGACGATGCTATTTTTATGACTAGTATGTGGAACTAAATTTGTGCCAATCATTGTTTGTTCTCTTATTTGGTAAACATAAGCTCAATGGATAAGTATCTATTTGATTCTATTGATTCCATTAAATATTCCATTGGGTCATTGTCGGCTCTGCTGATAAACAATGACTTTTATATAATAAATCGATTCTAGAATAGCCTTTTATTATTAGTTAGCGCTTAAAAGCAATCATTAGCGTTTGGTGTTACACGCTAAATTACTTTTCTGGGAGAACGTAATTCTGCGCCACTTACAAAAAAAACCAGGGATGCGTTAAAGCCTTGTAGGACGATTCTATTGTCGCATCGTGTGTATACTTGTTGGCAAAACCCAGTCAAATCCCAAACCCCAAAAATACAATTGTTATTTATAAAAGATTAAATCAAAAAGTAATCTTAAAAAAATTTTGAAATATATTATATATATATAGCTATAAATATATATCTGAATTGTTTATATAAGAATTATTAATAAGATTTTTAAGATATAAGTTTGGGATTTGGGCGTGCCCAAACCAGTGTTTCGGTTTAAACCTCCCCCAAAGTCCGAAACGTTTCGCCCAGAGGAATTTTAGTTTCGCCCGAAACACTGGCCCAAGCCCAGACCCAAACTATAATAGTTTGGGATTTTACCAACATGTATAATCGTGTGATGTCGGGTTCCAATATTCAAACCCCGCGTTTGATTAGTAATATATATGAAATAATCAAAAGCGTATTAACTAGGTTTCGGAATTTTATCTTGAATATCGTGATTTTAGAGTAGAATCATACTATATATGGTGCCGGAAGCTTATACCCGACAATCACGTGAAATGTTTCAATTTTCGACTAAATTCTTGCACATACTGCGCCAAAAACATAGTATTTTTTTAAAACGCTAAAACTTTTTACAACCAAATTTTTTTAAAAAAAACGATCGATAACTTTATACGTACATAAAACTAATCACTAAAATGTTATCGGTTAATTTTTTTAAAAAATTTTCTATTAAGAGTCATACCGATTTGAAGATTTTTTTTCGAACAGATATAACTTCCTACAGAAGAGCTTTTTTAAAAAATTAACCGATAACATTTTAGTGATTAGTTTTATGTACGTATAAAGTTATCGATCGTTTTTTTTAAAAAAATTTGGTTGTAAAAAGTTTTAGCGTTTTAAAAAATGCTATACTTTTGGCGCAGTATGTTCAAGAATGACAAAATACATTCAATTGCAGTCACGCGAAAATCGAAACATTTCATGTGATTGTCGGGTGTAAGCTTCCGGCACCATACAAGGCTTTAGCCGACCTCTACTTGGGTAATTTTGGGTTTCACAAATTTCAACCGTTGTAAGATATCCTATCGCTATCTATATCTCTATATATATCTATAATAGCGCTGGCTTCGAAGTACTGCACTGCACTAGCTCAAATTTTTTCGCTTGTCAAACAGCTATTAAAAAGGGGAACAAAAGAAAAAAAATCTCCCAATTTGCATACCGATACTACGTATGAAATTACCAATTTAGAAAATGATCCGAATAAATTAATCCATTATTTGTCCTAATTTGTTTGATTGAAATTCTGGTAAATTGATGCTTCTATTATACACGAATGGCAAAGATATAGACGATTTATCCCAAAACTGACTGATGAATTTTTATCATTTTCGCCATTACACTTTACAGCTGATTTCATAATTCCTGAAACATTTAAATTTGCTGAATGATTTTTTTAGCTGATTTTTGATTAGGATATTCTCAAGCATCTCAATCAATTAATTACATTACGGCGCATTTGTAAACTACCCCAAAATTTGAAAAGTTTGACTACCTATAGTAAGTCAATTTAATTTGACTTCATATTTTGTCCCCAAATCCAAATATTCGGTCGCTAAATTTATTATTTATCAATTTAAAACTAAATCCCAAATTTTTCACCCTAGTTCTATGCCAACAACGTCTAACCCATCTTCCCACCATTCAACCCATCTTCCTACTATATCTGCTTAATTTCCTTAATTCTGCAAATGCGCCGTAATGTAAAATTTAATGATTAATGCATTCGATTTTTCACACGATACAGCAATAAAATTGAGTTATTGATCATCATCTCTATATGCGAAATTCTGAAATTAATTTTTAAACCAGTTTGAACATATTTAAGATCATAATAATCACTGATTTTAATTACGTTCGGCCCCATTAATTACCACCATTTGAATCCCAGAGACAGAGAGAATAACGAGCATAAAGACATTTATTGAAAAGGATTGATATCAAGTAATCACGATACCAAGAAATTTACATAAGATACTATTTAGAACTTGCATATAGTAATATTGATGTGATCAAAATGTAATGGAGTACGTACCATATTATTCGCTATCTGCTATTGCTTATGCCATGATTACGCGTAATGACCTTAATAACGAATAAAAGTCAATTCCCTTTGGATCATTTCATATAATAAATGCATTAATGTTATTTTATACACTCTTCCCAATTTGGAGGAGCTTTTTGAAAGTCTATTGATGACTTATCATCATCCAATTCTATTATGGTACTCATTGAACCGCTATTGAATGCAGATTTATTATGAACTGTGATAATATTTTCATTAATAATTTCGTGCACAGGAATATTAAATGAATGATCGTCGTATTTCTTGAATAACCTTCGTTGTCTTAGACTTTGTTCAGGGATGAATATTGTTTTTTTGATTATTATAATTATAATAATTATTGTAAATGTTATAGTAAGGGATGTAAGTAGAATTGCAGAAACATGGTACGAGGATCCTGGGTCGAATGTATCCAAATGAGTTTCATTACTGTTCTCGGTGGGATATGCTAATGATTGGAAAGGTATTATTTATCGCTATACAGCTATTTATTGGTTTATCAGCATTTTTGAAAACTGGATTAGAATCAGCAAAAGACGTTGGAGCGGGTGAAACATTTGTAGATGTAAAGGAACGAATGGTAGTTGTTTGAATTGTCAATGATGAGGCTAGACTTGTAGGTAAAATTAACCATGAACCGGTAGAAATGTTCATTATCTCCATTGTAGTCGAAACATCTCTAACTTTTAAGACATCGCTTGTAAGGCCAGAACTAACTCGAAGTGCTTGTTTATTATTAGACGCCATGTGGAATGAGTATAAAAGATTATAAAACGTTAAAAAATTCCAATATACGTAATAAAGGAGTGATTGTCATTAATCGTAAAGCAATAAATGAGTCGTAACGAAAAAAGTTCGAGCAAGGCAATTTTTTTTCCCCCACAAGATTCCATTTTTAATATATATATATATATATAATTCCAATAATTTATTATTTAGTGTAACTAATTATCTTTATTTTATCTTTTATTAACATTATCATCTTACAGCTTTCGAAACTGTCCAGCATGAAAGAACATTAAAAAATTACCAATGATTTATTAGAGGTATCTTGATCAGAGTGGTATAGCAGTTTTCCCATTATCACTAATAAACAGTCAGTTCTGTTAAAGTCTCAATAAATGAATTCGACCAACCATGATGGATAGAACACAACATAATCATTAAATTTGAATGTTTTTAGCGCTTTCGATTTTCATAAAATGTTAAATGCTAAGAGCTATTGAACATTTTCTCCTAACGGATGTATCAAATTGCCGCAATAATTTAACTTTTTGGCCTTATAAATTATTGTTTATTATTTCAATAATTGATTTGCCTAGTCGTATCACCGAAGTGCGGCGAGACGAATCAATTTATGGACGCATGTAACGTGTATTAATAAAATACGCAATTACTTAGCGCATATTTCTGTATTATTAGTCATATTTCGTTTTCTTTCATGTATTCGTGACAATAATTCCCTTACCTGAAATTCTTGTTTAAGATCAAAATTAACGTTTAATGGGCAGTTTTGTTTAGAGTTTAAAAGCCGTTTCTCCCGCAGTACCATTTAAACTTACAGTAATAAGTTCTTTCCTTTTCTGAATTTTCGATTGAAAAGCAAATAAAAACGAAAACACTAGAGATCACGAATTGTAATTATTTCTGTTTCATGATACAATTAATTTAGAAACGGTATCTGGTATGATATCTTATATATCCATTCAAATAGACGCATTTATTCATATCATAAGCCGGATAACTAAAACAAAGAACTATTATCGTGCAGGCATTTAGTTATGGACTTTTAACTCTTGTTTTACGAACCAATACCGATTTCTAAATCGTTATTATCGGATTTATTGCTAATTATGAGCTTATTAATTTTTCTTCTGTCCCTATTGGACGAATACAACCATCATTTTCATTGGCCACATCACGGACTAAAAAATTTCTCGAATTAAATATAGCCATACGCGCCGCAAAAACAATAAATTACTTCGAAAACGTTATTTTCTAATAATTACATGTTTGTTAAAATTTCTTTAAATAAGCCTTCTCGCCCTTTAATACTGACGTTTTGCTCTTTTAAACTTAGCATCTTTGCTGAGTTCTTAATAGCATGCAAATAATTTTGACCAATTTATCGAATATTAGAAGTTATTATATTGTATAAAGTTATTATATTGTATAAAGTTGTCAATTGAAATAAACATATGTGCATACCTCAAGACTAGGGTTTGAGGCACTTGAGTTGAGACATGCCCTTTTTAAATATAAACTTAACCAAAAGTTTCTCGTCTCTAACTACACTTCGATTACTTCTAACTATGCTGACCAATCAGATGCGACATATATATCACATGACCAGGCATGCCCAATGGTCAAGTGGCATTCCCATATTGAACCTAGGTGCCGCACAAAAAATGCGCAGCAGATCCTCGATTTTGATTGGCTAAGAGCGACGATCATAAAATTAGGCCGGAATTACTCATAATTTTACTAA